TATAAATAAATATTTTTAAGTTGGGCCCTCATTCATAATTATTTTCAAATTTGGGCCCCGATGTGTAATTTCCCCAAAAATTTATCTACTCCAAACCTCGATCTGCTGAATTTTGGTTGCGCGCCTAATCTACTCAGATTCATAGAGGGACCCGAAAAATATTGAGCAAAAATATCTATCAATCAATATGGTCAAAAATATCTTATATCGATTTACCTGATCGAACCAATCAGAATGCTGATTGTCTATTTTCTGGAACTTTCCGAGAACCCGAGTTAGTCAAATTTATGTCACCCGGCCAAAATTATGCTATACTACTCTTAATTCTGCTCGTTAAGGATCCAAAACCGAAAAAAACTTGGAATCGACCTGAAAGACCCGAAATACAATCAATCAAACGTGCATTATTTGATTTCGGTTCGAGTCCAACTTAGAGCTGTGTATCGATTCTAAAAATTAGAATCGATGATTGAATCCCCATAAGTTATTTACCATATTTCTAACATGTGTACCAGGATGTTCCCCTAATTCTTGTTTTAGTACCGGGGTACTCGTTTTCACATAATTTGCAAATAACAATAAAATGATTATACAGAAATGAGAATCGATTCCGATTCGATTAATGATTAAAGCGATTATTATCGTTATAGAATCGATTCACAGCCCTAGTCCAACTAAAGAACCTGAACCGAATTTTTCAAAAAAATAACGGACCCGGACTCGGTTCCTGATCGATTCCGGGTCTTCGGTTCAGTTCTGCAGAACACTACACTGCATTAAAAGATTGCAAAAATAGAAAAATATTGAAATATCGATTTTAAGTATATATATAATATACTGTATTTTTTTTTTGCGATAATACAATAATACCCTCCATTGACATGTCATTATATAACACGCCACACTCGGCCATGTTTGCAGATCATATGATATCACTTAACCAAGATTGATTTAGCGTTAAGCATATGTAAATCTTTGTGACGAGCTCGATTAATAATTTACTTAATATAGTACTTAATATATATGGGTCGGAGAATAATCGAACATTCTTTCCAATTTATATATAACGATAAAGTTACATTACAACAAATTTTTGTACGTATAAAAAAAAAAACGTTTGTAGATTATAAAAATCAAAAATGTCTGAAACTGAAAACTGGATATATAAATCAATAAGCGAGGGTCATATTCAGTTCATTACTTACGACAGTTTTTCTAACGTTGAAGCTATAGCGCGCGGTGCTTTTGGTGAAGTCTCAAGGGCTTGGTGGAATAGTGCTGAAAAATATGTTGCGTTAAAAACTTTGTATACAAATCCTGAATCTAATAAACCGGATAATGATTCCTTTCAAGATCTCGTAAATGAGGTAAAATAATACCTTAAGGCTATTTCGATCTAAACTTTATATTTTAGCCTTTCTTATTTGTTTTATTTTATTAAAGTTTCAATTGATTCGGCATGTTGATTTTCATGACAATGTAGTTCGATTCTTTGGTTTAAGTCAAGGTTAGTTCTTATTTTTTTTTTTTCATTATTTCTTGTTGAATTTAATTGTTTATTTATTTTTTATATAGACCCTACGACATACAGATATATCATGGTATTGCAATATGCAAATGGTGGAAATCTTCGAGAATATTTGCGCGATAATCATGGCACTCTTGATTGGCAAACAAAAATTGATATGGGAAAGCAAATAGCGAGTGGACTGAAGTGTATTCATAAACAAGATGTTGTGCATCGTGATCTGGTAATAATAAATAATTATTATTACTACTATTCACTAAATCGTTTACGCTACGAATGTCCAGTAATAATCTATAGTATAATTTTTTTTGATAGCACTCAAAAAATATATTAGTACACGACGGTAAAATGATGATAACTGATTTTGGATTATCAAAAAGTGGAATTACTAATACGACATCTGTTGTGGTGGGCATGGCTGGTTACATTGAACCAAAATGTTTTGTTGACCGCAACTATAGAAGGGACAAAAAATCTGATATATACAGTTTAGGTGTGCTACTTTGGGAAATATCAAGCGGTAGACCTCCTTTCAATAACTTGACCATCTTGGAAATAGCTGAACAAGTAGCTAAAGGAAAAAGGGAATCTCCCATACCTGGTGCGCCAATAGATTTCAAAAATCTATATGAAATTTGTTGGGATTCTGAACCAGATAAACGTCCGGATATTGAAGAGGTGAGGAAAAGACTTGATAATATCCGATTGGAGTCTGCATGGAATGGTCCAGATATTGGAGATGTAGGAAATAGATTTAATAATATGCGACTAGACGATCATAAAGCTCCTCAACAAAAACAAATTCAAACACCACAACAACCGTTTCAACAACCAACACAACCACATATAAATCAATATCCTCCAAATCCAAATCCAGTTCCAAATACAATAAGTACATTCAATTCCAATAATTATCATCCTTCGAATTACAATACAAACTTTAATGTGAATGTCCTCTAGACTCAAATAAATCATAAAAAATCAATTTGTAGGACCTAATCAAACAACTCCGAATATGGGGCATTACGGTCCTGGTAATGCTTCCGTACAAAATATTAATTATCCTGCTAATCAGGGTATGATTCAAGGTGGTATTGGTGGCGGCTATCAAATTCCGAATCAAAGTGGTGGATACCCTCCCTATAATCAAAGTGGTGGTGGTTATCCAATGCAGAATCCGGGTGGCCTCCCAATGCAGAATCCAGGTGGCCGCCCAATTCAAAATCCAGGTGGCCGCCCAATTCAGAATCCAGGTGGATACCCAATTTATAATCAGAATAGTGGTTATCCAAATCCAAATCAAGGCGCTGGTTATCCAAATCCGAGCCATGGTGGTTACCCAATTCAAAATCAAGGCGGAAATTATCCAACTCAGGGTCCTCAAATGTCTTATCCTATGCAAGATCCAAGGATGGCCTATGTTCAACGACCATTTCAAAATCCTAATTACCCGCAGAATAATAAAAATCCTAACTATCCGCAGAATAATCAAAATCCTAACTATCCACAGAATAATCAAAATCCTAACTATCCACAGAGTAATCAAAATCCTAACTATCCGCAGAGTAATCAATCGATGCAGATGCCAACTCCACCAACGATGAATAACATGCAGCCATCGCCATATCCTCAACAAAATTTTAAACCTCCATCGCGTCCTGATCAACCAAATTTCAAACCTCCTTCGCGTCCTGATCAACCAAATTTCAAACCTCCTTCGCGTCCTGATCAACCAAATACTGGATATGCCGCTGGAGTCCCTCCATCTCAACAGATTCCTCCACAATATTTCCAACAACGCCCACCTTTACAACAATTTCCTATGCAACCAAATCAAAATATACCAAATAAAAATGTGATGAATCAAAATGTACCGAATCAAAATATGCTGAATCAAAATATACGTATGTACATAATAATGTGATGGTGCATGAACGATTACTTATATTAATTAATGAATCATTTTATTATTCATAGATATTCAATCAACTCAACATCAAGTTCCTAAAGTAAGCAATTCTGTCTCTTATTAAATACTGTTTTTTCATGCTTGCAATACTAGATTCACAATATTTTCGATTGAATCATTTTTTTCATTCAGCAATATTCATCTATGCGTCCATGTATGGAGCTCCTTGCAAAGCACGCTGATGAACATCATTCCACATTTACCGGGCCAGATAATTGTGGTGCAGGTTACCACGTAGGCTACGGCGACGTAGTTGGACTACAGTTTCATCTAGACAACATGAGCATTCCTGTTGACTCTGATAATTTTGAATTCGCAAATAAGCAAGAGCCCTTAGTACTAATAGCATCGACGTATTGTTCAGGAAGAAAATTAATATCGATATTAAAGTGTCTAAAAGATTATAAAGCAGATTTTTCAAAATTCGACCCAATAACAAAAAGAACAGCATTACATTGGTTATTTGAAAATACGGTATTACGCAAGGATGTAACAGAGAGAAGTGGTGGTGTGAGAAAATATGTCGATTGCGTCAAAGATGCCATAATGATATTGACAAGTTATGAAGATGTTAAACGCAATTGTAACATTAATGCCACAGATTATGAAGGAAAAACCATATTAACATGTTATATGATAGATCTATTTGGTAATATAAAACCTGAAGAAAAAAAAGAAATAGTTTCTTCACTACTTGAGCGTGGTGCTGATCCAAATAAAGGATGTACTATCAAGAGTATATTTTATACATTTGAAGCACCGACTGCACTATTTATGGCTATACATTATGACTGGCCAACTGAAATATTTTCACAAATCTACAAATGCAAAATGGGATGTGATGTTAACATAAAGGATACTAAACAACGGAATATCTTGAGTTTAGCAGCCTCTGAAAGAAAACCTGATTATATGAAGTGGTTATTGGAAAATTGTGCGGATTTAAGCAAACCAGAGAGCATGAAGCTTGCATTCAAACATGCTGGAAATTTCATTACTAAGGAATATAGAACATTACAATTTTTTGATAAAGGAAAAATAAAGTTAATACCTGAGTTTGATAAAAAGACCTCGTCCCGTGATAATACAAATTCAAAGTAGGCCATATATGATATGTGGATATTTCTTGCTTATGGTACATTTTCTTTTTTTTTTGTTCAGAAATTATTTTTATTATTTGTTGAGATTCATACTGCAATTTTATTTCATTTAACTAGTTATTATGAAGACTTTTATTTGTAAATTTAGAGAATTATCTTTATTACCGTTGCCAAATGAATTTTTCTTGAAATTAGAAAGCTGTATTTTTTATTCATTTATATTATAATGATTAAATTATTTTGGTTTTAATAATTAGTAAAATTTAATACACTTGATTAATATACATTATACAATATATATTTATGTAAAAATTTGGAAATTTTAACTTCAAATTTTAAGAATATTAATAAATTCACATTAAAGTCTGCATTTGATTTATTGTATGGGCTGTTTGTATTTCGTTAATAAAAGTTGTAAGATATTAAATTAACCTAGTAAATTATCTCCGAAACGAAGCGAAGATCACTGTTTTTACTACGAAATTCATTTATATAATTAAGGAAATTTATTATCGGGTTAGTGGTCTTATGTGCCCTATCTCGCTCATGAGTGTCGTAACCCAAATTATAACCTTCAAAGGACTAGAGAGGCTTAAGCATTATTTGTATGGGCTTATTCCTCTCAATGAAACCGAACAAGCCTCAATTTGCCATCCAAGCCTTAGAGTGTTGTGGCTAGACAAATCAAATTAATTACTTTATTTGTACGTCATAAGTTACGCAAGTTTCTAAAAAAATATTTTCTATGATTATCACTTTTATTTTAGCTGTAAAAATAATTACGTTAATGTTACAATGCAGGCGTTTCTCTGCTCTTGATAAATTTATTAAAGCCATAAATAATGTACTTTATGTACTAATTACGATAAAAAATGTCAAACTCTCAAGTGATACTTCGATATCAAGTTAAAAATTTATACAAACGAGTAAGATCATTTAATTTTTATTAAAAAAATTTCACTTTATCATAAACCCTAATCTAACCATTGCTTATCTCCAGCTTCTGTTTATCGGCAGAGAGTACCCATTAGGTTATTCATACTTTCGTCCACGCCTAAAAAAAGCATTTTTAAAAAATCGTGACTTAAAAAATGAAGACGATATAAAAAAAGCTATTGAAACTGGTGAATATGTCTACAAAGGTATGTCTTATAATTGGTAGCTTTATATTTTAAATTATTACTCTTCAGTTTATAGAGTATAGAATAATATAGAATTAGAATCAAATCTTTAAATAGATGAATTTTAATTTTTTGATACAATTCATAATTTTCTTATAAGCACCTTTTTTTTTTTGGTATACATTTAATCATCTTAACTATATATCATAACTCTTTTTTTTTTAAAGAAATTGAAATGTTATATTACTTAAAAAAATATCGTGCGTTAAAAAAATCTTATTACGACTAAAATAGACCTACATAATTAATTCTAGTTCTCATAATTCGCATACATACTGTATTATATACAGTATATAAATGAATGCTGAAATAAAATAAGAGCTAAATAGATATGAATATATAAAGTATTCATAAAGTCGCTGGCAGCCTTCAAAAGTTATAAATAATATCTTCACAAGATTTTTAACTACATATACTTAAGCTATAAACCGGTATTTGCTGTAAATTATTTTTTCTAATATGGCCTATTCAACATGTTTAAATTTTTAAATCACTAAACTTTTACACCAAAAAACTGGCTGGTAACTTTGTAGAACAAAATTGGTTCTATAAATTTGCCAAATATTTTTTTGAAAAACCTTTTATATAAAAAGTTGATGCGTTTTAAAGCTTTATATATAATTACTATATGTAATTACCTATGTTTCAATTTTAAAATGCTGTGTAAAGAAAATTATTATTTAAAATAAGTTATTCACGTTCATGAATAGTTTTATTATTTTAAGTGTTAATTGAAATGCGGATATTTAAAGTAGGTTATTTAATAAGCGATTTAAGACTCCTGGATATTTACTATTTAATTATTTAGTCATGTTAATTTAAATACTGTATGTGTAAAGAAGATTACTAATTCTTGAATATTTACTATTTAATTTTGTTAGGAAATTTTACTAAGATGAAATATAATCTAACTGGATAATAAATAATTATAGACGTCTCACCTTAAATATTAAAAAAAAAATAAAATAAAATAAATAATTATAGACCCTGGTTATGAAAATATGTGCATTAGAAGACAATATATAGGAACTCCCACCGCAAAAAGAGGCATTGGGCCAAAAATTTTGATTTTGTAATTTTATAAAAATCATATGCCTATTACTTTAATTCTTCAAGAAATTGCATTTTTTTAAAAAAAAATTTTTTGGCCCAATGCCACTTTTTGCTGTGGGGTCCTCATATGTAAAGCATAGTGTTAGACATATGGTCCTAACAACAATTCAAGGATAGTCAAGTGGAAATAAAGATGTTAATAATCTTATTCAGGAGTTTAGCTAAGAAGTTTTAATATATATAAATGTATAATCAAATGGATTTTATTTGGCAGATGATACTAAAAGCCATGATAATACAGTAATAAATATACAGTATAAGCTTATACTGTAAACTATTATGTTGGCAGATTTGTGGAATTTGATAAATAGAAAAACCCATAAGCCATAACTCTGGTCAAATTTGCAGATCATCTGGCCAGGTTTAAAATTATTTGACTTCAAAGCTGGCCAAATGATCTGCAAATTTGACTAGAGTTGTAGCTTTTAGGTTTTTCTATTTATCAAATTTCACAAATTCACCAATATATTTAGTGTCTAAATATTTTTTTTATTTAATATTTGGCAGTCTTGCCCTACTTTATTAGATTTAATAATATTATACTATAAAATATTAAATTTTTCAAAGCTCTAATATCTAAGTTACAAGTATTGGCTCATTTAGTTGTTTCAAGAATACATATGTGATCTGCTATAGTAAGATTTACCTTAATACTAATTATCTTGCAAATAGATTCATTAATATTTCTTCAAATAGTTCTTATAGTCTGTCAAGACCACTGATGAAACTTTTCACTATTCTGTCTATTGTCTACTTTTTATCTAACTCAAAACCTTATTTTAGTTAATTCTAGTACCACTTTTCACTGTAATTTAATTTCACTTTTCTTTTTCTTTCTTTCATAGAGCTTATCAAATAGGTTCTTCTTTTTGTTTGCTCTCTTTTCTTTTTCTTTTTGGTTTTCTTCTTTTTTCTTTTGGTATTTGCACTAGATTCTCTTTTTCCTTTCACATTATATCATTTTCCTTTTCCCATTCTTGTACTAGTTTGCACCTTGCAACTCATATTTCTTTATAAATTTTTTTAATCTATCTTTTCCAAAGTCTTATTATGAAATCTTTCACTTGTTTGTTGGAATTGAAGCTTAGCTGAATTTCGTCAAAATCTTCTTTTGTAATTAAGCCTCTTATCCATCTTTCTCTTCTATAGAGCTCTTCAACTATACTTCCTTTTTTCAATACAAGTTTTGTATTTTTTTTATTTCTTTTAGAGTCAACTTGACTTCTTATTCTTCTATATCTCATATTATATTTAATAATACCTTGCAGCTTACTAAATATTTATATTTTCTAACTTCTTCTTGTTTGTTTATTTTGTATATATTTGGTTTTCTTCTGTTAAGCTTTTCTAATACTGGTAGAACATTGTTTATTCAAAAAGCTGCATTGAATTTGACTTGTATGTGTAATTTTGCTGCTTAGTTCCATAGTGCCTAAATACTTTTATAAAATATAAATTATAATATAGTAAGTATAAATTATATAAAACATAAATTGGTAGACCAATTCAAAGTGATTTAACAATATTTAATAGAATTTATATTATATTTATAAAGCAAGATTCATATAAAAAATATATAATAAAACCATATTAGCTATATAGTAGAAATACAGAAGATTTTAATAAGTTTAGATTGCAGATAGTAGTCAAGACCTGTTTGAACCTGAATATATTTAATAATAGTATATTAAAAATGATTGTTTTTTTTTTTTTTTATAAACTTCAGCAATTATGCCAATACTTTATTAGATATAAAACTTACATATCTATTTTATATCTATTTCATGAATAAGTTAACTTTAACACTAGGCTAAACATATTACTCCTAAAATTACAAGTATTGACTTACCTGGCTCTTTGCAACAAAAGCCTTCTGTGACAAAAGTTCAAATTATTCATATGTAATCTGCTATAATAAAATTTTCTCTTAATATTAAACCCTCCTACTAATGAAGAAATCTAATATATCACTAAGCAGTATTTATAGCCATTATAATTGTCTTCTCTTTTTTGAACTCTAAATCTTCTCCTCCTAACTTCCCAAGCAGAAAGAAAAACTCCTAACTACTCAATGAAAAAACTTCAAAATCAAAGAAAAAAAGGGAAGTTTAAAACCAAAAAGAGAAAATACCTAAACTAATGCTACAAAAAAACTATATAAAAAACTCTACAAAGAAAAAAAAAAAAATGATAGAATAAAAAAAGAAAAAACAAAAATGACGAAAGCACTATTATACCAGGTTAAAAAAATATTATATATGCGACTTTGGGATAACGTATATCTCACATGATACTAGAGGTGTAGCGCCTTAGTGAAGTGGTCTAGTCGTCACCCTCTCCAAATAGTAATAGTATATTTCTCAAGGTTCGAATCCCAGGGAAGACACTTTCGAAAATAGCAAAAACGGAATATGTCAGATGACAATCTCTATTTAGGTTGGCCTATGAATGATTTAGTGATCTGGTGCCTGGGGCACTAGTGAAAGGGATTCCGGGTGGCTGTAATCTGTGGGCTATGCATAGCACAGGTCACAGGACCGGAGATCAAAGCCCGTTTGGAAAGTCCCAAGTTTGGAGGTAGCAGTGATCTTCGACAGTACTACATGAAGGCTGAATTTGAACTGGGGCCTAAGATTGGAGAACCGAGTGATCAGGTCCTTTAGTGGGAAGACACACTAGCCAAACCACCAGTTTAGCCGCACCGGAGAAAAAGGCCATATGCTCCGAAAGTATGGACCAAGGGGAGGGCGTCCTTCAGGCACCTAAAGCCTAGGCAGACCAACTCTTCTGGGTTGCTGGCTAGAAGTTAGGGATGGACCGATAAAGAATCTGGGTAAAGAGACGGCTTGAATGTGGGTACTGGGGTTGTTGTGAACCAATACAAGGGCAGGAGTACGTAACGGAAGACTAATTAGGAAGGTTGTGCTTGA